CCTAGCGGGGTGTGCTGGTGTACACACCCATGGTCCTCGAGCTCTGGAGGTTGAGGCAGGAGGGTCTCAGCCGCGGTGACATAGCAATCCTAAGGCTGGGCTTCACAGTGAGAGCCTAGAAACTGCAACGACAAAAGAACATAATGGAAAGAGCACCAAGAAGCGGCACAGCCAGGGTTTGAACCTATGAACTCCTAAGCCTGGGTGTTTGAGCCCTGAGCCACACCGCTTCTTTCTCAGTGGCACTGAGGTCTGTGGTTTTCCACAATGGTCGCTCTCCTCCCCAGCTCTCTTCAGCAGCCCAAGGCTCTGGTTCTTCAGCTGGCAGTGGGGTGGCAGGAGGCAGGATGTGTGTGCCTTCCAGCAGGGCTGGCATCCTAGCCAGGCCCACCCCCAGCTCCTGGGGGGGGTGGATCAGATCTCGGAGGGATGGAGGAGCTTGGGTAGAAGTCAAGAGAAAGATGCTGAGCTTGGCCACCGGGGACAGGACCTCCTGCTCCTCCTCCCCCTCCTTCCCTCCTGGGATCGCGCTCCCCTTCTCCTTGAGCTGTCAGATGTTCCTTTCTCCCTCGCTCTGCGGCTGCAGCCCCCCAGAGCAGCGCCAGCAGCACAAGGCTTGGAGAGGGTAGCGCCCTTCCCTGCTGCCTGCCTGCCTGCCAGCGCCCTCCCTAGCTGCGGCAGAAGCTATAAAAAGCACAGCCCTCAACAATAGGTGACATCACCCAGTGGCGGGAAGAACTGGATTCTGCCAGACGCCAGGGAGAATTACAGCCCCCAGCCTCCCTCAGGACAGAGGCCCCCAGCAGGGGACTGGGGAGGTGCCACTGGGCCCGAGGGGCAGAGTGCATGTTCCACAGGACCCACATCCCCTAGGACAATGGGAAGGGAGCCCTGGGGTGGAGATGGGTTTCTTGGGGTGTCTCGAAGGACCTCAGGGAGCAGGGCTCACTGAGTCGCTCCAATGTACTCTAACTATGCTCAGACCAGCAAAGGCAGCAGGGGCTGGAAGGGACCTCAGGGACTTCCAGGGCACCAGACCTCTGCCAGAGCTGCTCTCCCAGCCCCTCCTGGAGCCTGGTCCAGAACACAGGGCCTGGCATAGGCTGCCCACCTGCCCACTGTTCTCCTAACACTGCTTTGGAACAGCAAGCTGCATGCACATGGGGCTGACCATGCAGGGTCTGAGGGTGGAGGACTCCAGGGACACAGGCAGAGCCAGGTGGCCCAGCTGGAGGAACAAGGGCAGGCAGGGGTGGGAGGCCCACACAGCCCTGCAGAAAGGACACGGTGACATCACTCCCCAGTGTCTGCTTCCTCCCGGTGAGGTAGTTGGACAGGAACCTGCCAGGGGCACACACTCTGTGGGGCTGTAACCACAGGCCCTGCCGGCCCCAGGGCCAAGGTCTACAAGCTGAGGCCAGGCAGACAAGGGCGGGTAGGCAGGGCTCGGAGCCTGGCCCCTGCAGCTGGCCTGGCAGCTGGCGCGGAGCTTAATTCTCCCTGATCAAGACCTAATCTCCTGTTTCTAGATCAGCAGCCCCCACATGGTCCTCTGGCCTGTCCTCTCCCAGAGCTCCCCCAGCCACCCCATCCTGGGAATCCCCGTCTGCACGCAGGTACCATCTCCACAGCTCCACCCGAGTCCCCAAACCTGGGCTTATACTGAGACTGCTCAGGAGGGCACAGGTGTCACTTCCAAACCCAGATGCTCGGCTTGTGGCCCATCCTCCCTTCTCTGGTCCAGCCACCCTGATCTCAAGCTCCCCATTCCTTCCCTCGGGCCTCAGCCTCGATTAACTCTTTTCCTGCCTGGCAAAGTCGTGCTTCTCCAAAACTTCTTTGTCCTCTCTACATCCTGAGCAAGAGTAACCCCTCTTCCTGCCTGCATACAGCCCTGGTGACACTTCATCTCCGTGAGCAGACAGCCCTGCTGGGGGTGGTGCCGAGGCACCAGGATCCAGGCCAGGCACAGCCATCCCTGCACCCTCACTGTGCACATCCTAGGTCCCTCAAACATGTGCAGTTCACAACATGGGCCAAGCTCCTAGGATTATCCAAGGCCTAGCCCATCTGGCAGGAGGTGGATGCAGGATGCCTGCGGCTGGAAACACAGACAAGCCTCAGGCCCCTGCCCTCCCCCCAGCTCATGGTCTGCGGTGCGGCCCACGTGCTGGGTATTGGAGACCCCTGCTGTATCAGATTCCAAGGCTGAGCTTTTCTTGGCTCCCAGCAGCTGGGTGTGGGGGACAAATGCCAGGCAGCGTGGTCCCTGCTCTGCAGGCAGAGTCTCTGCGCCTTGTGCACCTCTGACTTCACAGCAGGGATACACAGCTTGTGCATAACTGGGGTCCCAGAGTGTGATGCACCCACTGGATGACAGACCCGGTAGGTCCCTCTCATCTGATTCAGGTGGCAGAAGTTTCAGGCACGGGCTGAGGGGGTGTCCAAGAGCTGACCCGGCCTGTGCCCACCCCACTCCCAGGTGGCCACGGTTCTGCCCAGCTGGGTCCCCAGTGAGTCTCCACTGGCCGACCGATGGCTAGGCTGAATGCAGTGTTTGGAGCTGAACCTGGGTAGGCCTCAAGCATGCTGCGCGAGGTTCTGCCACTGAGCTACATGTCCAGCCTTTTTTTTTTTTATTTTTTACTTTGAGACAGGGTCCTTGCTGCATTGCAAAGGTTGGCTTGGAACTTTAGACACTCCTGCTCAGCCTCCCAAGAAGCTGGGGTTAGGGGCACAAGCTGCCATACCACATACCTCTGTTGGCTCCTGTGGTGACAGAATCTGGTGGAGACAGCAGCCTGGGTGAAACAGGCTCCTCCACTTCCTGGCTGCATGGGACCTGTTCTTGGACCCTCAGTTTGGGGAAAGCATCGCCTGGCTCAGGGGGACCCAGCAGCTTCACATGAATGTGTCAGGGACCCAGCCCAGAGTGTGGGTGGAGGAGCCCCAAGTCCCAGGGGCATGCTTCCTGCTGGTTGGTGACAGCTGTCCACCTCTTCAGCAGTCTGGGACACATGCAGTCCTAGGTCCCTCCCTCCGCAGGGGACCTAGGTCCTTTCCTACAAGGACCACTGAGCTCCCCAACTCCCACGTATTCCGTCTGCTTCCTTCCCAGCCAGGAAGCAACCTCTGCGGCTCTGGCTCTGTCACCTTCCTGGCTGTCTCCTTGTGCCCACCCTTCTGCAGCTCTGTTCTTCCCATGAGCTGGTCCCTGACTGCTGCCCCACGCCCTCGCTGCGTTGGTTCTGAGGCTGCTAAGGGAAGTGCGGGACCGTAGGAGGCCATCCTCACCGTGGGTTCTTGCTCTCTCCCATCACAGAGGCCTCACCCTGGGTCTGCTGCTTCCAGGAGCCCTCTCCAGCTGACTTCAGGCTGCAACGGCCAGGAGCCGCCGACCTCACGCCACTCTCCTGGGCCCTGCCGCCTACTTCCCATGTGCCCTCTGTGCCAGCTCACCTCACCCCCAACTCCATAAAGGCACGGAAGCACTCCTGGGATTTTCTTTCTTTGGATAATTGATTAATTGGGCCATAGTCACCTATACCTATATGCATGCATGCATTCATCATTCCAGCCATTCCTCTCTCCCAGTCATCCTTCCTTCACCTATTCCCCTATTACCCATCCATTCAGGCCTCCCCACCCCACCTCCTTTGAGACAGTGTTTCACTTTGTAGGGTAGCCTTGTACTCACTATATAGCCCATATAGCCCAGGGTGGCATGGAACATGATCATTTTCCTGCCTCAGCCTCCTGAGTCCTGGGATAGCAGGTGTTAACCACCATGCCCAGCCAGCTATCTTTTCATCAATGTAGTTATCCATCCATTCATCCATCTGTCCATTCGTGCATAATCTGTGCAGTCACTTGTTCGTGCCTTATGCATCCCCGTATTCATGCATACATTCATCCATCCATCCATCCATCCATCCATCCATCCATCCATCCATCCACTTATCCATCCATTCATGCATCTACCCACCCATTCATTCATCCATGTATCCATCCATCCATGCATGCATGCATCTATCTATTCATGCATCAATCCATCCACCCATCAGGCATCATCTGCTTATCCATCCATGCATGCATCATCCACCCACCACCCATATACAGTAGCAAGTATTAGGTCAGGGCCCTATGCTGGGTGACTGGGCCTCAGAACCACCTGGGTCATGGGCTCTGTCCTCTGAAAATCACAATCTATAGTCTGTGGAGACAAGAGACACAGCTCTTCCAGCTCCAACATCCTGGGAATGGCCTGTCCTCAGCCTATGCCAATGATCTCTCACTGTGGCCTGACTGGAGGGTGGATCCTGCTTAGCCTGGGAGCACGAGGCCCCTCGCCAGCTAGACAGATTCTGGAATCTGCTTGTGAATTGGCATTTGGGGGCTGGTCAGGGCCATCGGGGAGGGCAGAACCCTGAGCTAGACCAGCACTGCCAGCCCTGCTGCAGCCCAGGAAGAACGGCCAGCTGTAGCTCTCCCCAGATTCCTTCGTCCCTCTTTCCCTCCCATCTCTATCGCTTTTCTGTTTCTTCTTGGGTCCCCTCTCCTGTTTCTCCTCTCTTGCCAGCAAGGAAGGAACGCACAGGGCTCAATTCCAAGCCACACGGTGGGTCTTCAGACAAGTCACACCTGTCCTCTCCACCTAGCACCCCTCGCCAGAAGCCGTAGGTCCCAGAGCACAAACCTGGAGACGTTTGCCCCGCCCCACCCACAAGACACCTGCGCACACCTCCTCAGAGCTTCCTGTTTCCTTCCATCCCTCCCTCCATGCCAACCTCTTTCCTGCCCTCTTCTCCCCCCCCCGTTTTTGTTTTTGTTTTTGTTTTTTTGTCCTCCTTTTTTTCTTCCTCCAGAAAGCATACCAAGGTCCCACGCATCTGCCAGCTTTGTTCTAAACCTCCCCGCAGAGTCAGCACCCCCAGACTCAGTTTGTCCTCCCCACCCACTGGGGCCGTCTGGGAGGACAGTAGCACCCGCCAGAGGCTCACCGACGTGTCCTCCGAGCATGAGGCGATGATATTGTCGATGAAGGGGTTCCACTTGATATCCAGCACATTGCCCTGGTGGCCGCACACTTTAGGGTAGTTGGGTTCGATCCTGCCTGTCTGCAGAGGAAAGGCAGAGAGGGGAGTCAGCTCGGCAGCACCAGTACAGGCCACCCTTTCCCTTGATGCTTGAGACCCACGACTGCGGGATTTTCCCAGCAGGCCAGGGAGGGCCTTGACCTTCCCAGGCCCAGGGAGCAGCAGAGCATTCACCCCTCAGCAGCAAACTCCGCGCAGGCCCCACCCCCTGGCCTCCCACCCCCACGGCCAGGAGAAGCGCTTTCCTCCTGCTGTCCAGGTCGCCCATCACCCCAATTAATGCTGTGGCCCTGTCCTGTGGCGCGGATTGCTTCTGTCTCTGGGATCACAAGTGACCCCATTCAGGACACTCTGGGTCACTTCCTGCAGGACTTTCGCTGCTGCTTTTAGGGTGAAGCCAGCTGAGGAAAGAATGGAACTGCAAGGTCCTTGTGTTTGTCTTTGGTCCTGAGCAGACCAAGGAAGACCCGCGCTCACCGGTCTTCCTCAAGTGGAAACTGGGAAGGCTGAAATGTTTCCACCCACAGGAGCATGTGGAGACCAGCAGGCGGCAGCGCCGCACTGCGCAGCATGCCCACCCACCCCCTCGCCCAGTCGCACACCCGAGCCTGACTCCCAGCTTCTCCCGGGAGCTGGATCCAGAGTCAGCAGAGGCAGGAACCTCAGAGTTCATCTCGTGATTCTGTGAACGGGCATCCTGGTCCAGGGTGCACCTGGAGCACCCATGCACAGCGCCTCACGGTGGAAAGCCGAGTCTCTGGAGTCACAGGACTTGGTTGAACCACAGCTCTGCCATGTTTTAGCTCCTGTGAACCGCAAATCGCTCATTTCTAAAACAAGGACAGAAGAAACGAGGGACCTGGGGTTCACAGGAGTTCAGAGGAGGAAAAGACCGGGCTCTGTAACATTTGTCCACTTCAGTAGTGCTAGTCAAATCTCCCCACATCTCTCCTTTCGGGTTAAAGAACTGATGGCCGCAAACACGGAGTGAAGGGAGGTTCTTGATGGAGCACCAGCGCACGACGTTTCCACCGTACAGGGGCAATAGCACCAATAACTTCCAGCGCGCGGTGAGTAGTAAAACAATTAGGACGTATTGAATTTTTAATATTAGTGACTCTGTTTTAGTACAATTTATTTAATTGCAAGTTAATGTGCTTTAATTTTTAATAAAGGCTGTGTCTACAACTCAGCTTTAGGAAACCCTAAGATTTGTGCCATAGACTTTCACGAGCCAGCACATGCGACCCCTCACTCCCCGCAGCACCATGGGATTTGAGTGCTATTGGCCTCTGTGAACTGCACGTTTCTAATTTGGACATAAAAAGGGAGAACAAGCAAGTAAGACACTTGTGTACAGGTCCTAAAGGAAGCTCAGTCTTAATTAGTTAAGGGGGGGGGGAAAGAAAGAAAAGGTAGCCCATGATGTTTCCAAGGCCCACTCCCACAGTTCCTCTGTTGGATTAATTTCTATCCAGGGGCTGTAAATACAGATTAAACCCTGACCCATCAGGCTGGCTGGCCCCTAAGCCTGGCTCTTCTATGCTGTGATTTCCATTTTCTTTTTCTTTTATGTGGCCGGCTCAGTCCGCTCTGGGGGACAGAGCTGGCAGGACATGTGGTACTGGGGATTGAACTGTGGTCCCTGTGTGCTTGCCTAAGCTTGCCTAAGCAGTAGCTTTAGACCACTGAGCTATCTTGCCGGCCCCCATGCTGCAATTTTCCTTCTCATACTTAACACTAATGCACCACTGTCACTAGGAACAGCAGTTATTAACATGCAACAGGAATGTGATCAAATTCAGACAGATTTATCAATATGATCACACTGAATCTTCATGATGATCCCATTTTACAGCTCAGAAAACAGAGGTTTAGAGAGATTCTGAGGAATGGAGGCAAGATCTGCCAGTGTGAGCTGGGCACGGTGACACACACACCTATATTCCCAGCACTCCGGGAGCCTGAAGCAGGAGAACAGAGAGTCTGAGGACAGCCTGAGCAACTCGGTGACTTAGCAAGACCCTCTCTCAAAATATGAAATAAAAAGGACACAGGGAAGCAGCTCAATGTAAAGGCCCTGGGCTCAACCTCCAGTTCTTTTATATGACTAACTTTTTTCCCTCCTCCCAGGCTGAGGTGGAACCCAGGGCCTCGTACATGGTAGGCAAGTACTCTGTCACTGGGGAGATCAATTTGTCACTTCCTAATTGTTTTACTACTCACTGTGTTCTGGAGTTTTTCTCTAATAGAATAACTATTCAAACATCAACAAGAAAGATTTCCCAGTGTGATACAGTATTAGAATATCTGCTTAGACAGTAAGCTCCCAGAAGTGTCCCTGTGGGAAAGACTTCGGGACTCAGGGTCCATCCTGCCACCTGGTCCTGAAGCTTCAGAGGGCGCAGGGGCTTAGCAGTGTGGGCTGGGGTGCATGCAGCAGGGAAGCCTATTCCCTGGCACCTAGAGTCTCGAGGAGTTCCAACTGTCGGGAGGGCCTTAGCCCTGCGTGTCTGAAAAGCCCCTTCGAGAGCAAATGTTGGAAGCCAGTTGCTTCCTCCCCTCGGATCCCCAGCACCCAGGTCCAATCCTGCTGCAAACCACTGCACTCACCAGTCACAGAGCTTGAGGGGAGGGGCAGCCAACCCAGGGGCTGGGGAGGGGTTGGGAGGGCATTTGCCAAGAGCCCTCCAAAATTTTCCAGGGGTTCCTGGCCTTTGACCGGCAGTCCTACTCCAGAATTCACCTCAAGGGACATCAACAGCGGAGCACAGCGAGACAGCCACCACTGAGTGATTTATAATAGGGAACAATTTAATAAATGCCCAGCTAAGGCCCTGCCTAAAGGAATTACAGCATAACAGAATAATATGAGGTCACTGAAAATGATATATCCAGGGAATATTTAGTGCATGGGAGTTGCTAAAGATTTAACATTTAGTAAGACAGAATCAAGGCAGAGGGATAAAATAGTCCCTACTGCTAAAAACCATACAATTGGAAATGAAAGACATGAAGAATATCAACAGTAGCAACCTTAGACTAGTTGGATATTACTAATGGTTCCTAGTTCTTTTATACAATATTTACCTTTTGTCCCCTCCTCTCGGGCTGGGGTGCAACCCAGGGCCTCGTGCATGCTAGGTAACCGCTCTGCCACTGAGTTATACCTTCCAGCCCCAATATTTAACCTTTTTATTATTAAATGTTATTTTTCAAATCTAAACACCCCCCAGCCTTGATTGGATTCAGGCCAACAGGTCTTCAAGGAACAGAGTGCAGACTTCCAGGTTTGCGGGTTTTTGCAGTACATGAGTGCGTATGCCTATCTACATGTGATTGATTCACAGGAGAAAAAAGATCCTTAGAACTGAATAAGATTACACAAGTCACTGAGAGTGGGTCTCTAAGCGCCTGTGGGGTGCACACGGCTGCAGAGCCCCGCCCTCCTGGGAAAGGCTGCAGGGCTGTGATTCACGGGTGAGGCTTGCCCTGCGGGCTGCCAGCGGCCGCGGGTGCCCCACAACCCCTGTCCAGCCTCTACCGGAACCCAGCGAGCTGCCCAAGCATGAGACCTTTTCAAAACAACCCACACTGCAGCTGCAGCTTCCTAGAATCCTCTGTCCCTGAGGAGTGGAAATTTGTACACGGAAGCAAAATGTTTTCTTACCTGGAGAATCAGCTTAGCAAGGCAAAAAAGCACACATGCAGGAGGTAGGGTTTCCAGGCCCGCTTCCGGCAGTCATGCCAGGGTGACCTTGAACACAGCCCCAGCCTCTCTGGGCACCTCAGAATCGCAGTCCTAATGTTCTGCTCTCCCTCTCAGCGCCTGCTACGTAGAGCCAGGTATGGATGCAAACACAGAATGCCTTACTTCTGGCGTACCAGGGTAGGAATTCCCACCAGGTTGGCTGCCACAGGATGGAGATGGCGAGTCCACTACTGACCGTGAGAAGCAGCGTGGTGATCAGGCTGCTTGACTTGTGCTTATGAAGTGCCAGGCCTTGGGCTAGGCAATGCAATGTACGGAGCTTAGGAGTTCCCTGTGACTGCCCTATAAAGCCTTGTCACATTCTTATCATGTCCCATGAGGATCCATTTTATGGATGAGTAAACCGAGCCCTGAGACTGAGCAAGAGTGGTGCAGCTGGCGATCAAGGGGCCACAGAGGCACCTAGCCCTGTGTTCTCTCTGCTGCACTGGGTCCTGTGTCAGACATCAGACAGAGGTAGGAAAAGTAGGAAACCAGAAACAGAACCTCAGCGTCTCTGGTGTGGTTCCCTCAGGGGCTGAGGACTCACTTGAAGCCCCCTACATTCTCCTTTCCCACCTGGCTTCTCCCTTCCACCTACACTGCTTCCAAATCTTGTTATAGTTTGCAGTCAGCTGGGAAGATAAACACCCGGCAGGCACCGAGGAGCCCGCAGCCCTTACCAACTTAGCTACCAGTGTGTTCAGTTTGGTTTGGTACTGGGTATAGAACCCAGGGCCTTGTGCAGGGCAGATAACCGCTCTCTATCCTCAAAACTTTTTAGTTCATTTCTAAGTTTTTCTAGTTCATCAGGGATTCACTAAGTTGTAATCCTCCTGCCTCAGCCTCTAGAGTAGATGGGATTACAGAGGGGTGCCACTGCACCTCGCTCACTTGCTAGATCTCCCCAGGAGCTTGCAGGGATGGTGCACGCCTGCAATCCCAGTATTCAGGAAGCTGTGGCAGGATTGCTGCAAGTTTGAGGACAGCCGGGGTTGGTTCCTAGAGATGACTGGGTTCTGGGCAGTGTCTGTCTGCAGAGTCCAGAAGGTTCTGTGAGCCTGGGATGGAAGATGATGAGCGAGAGAGGTATGTGTGTGTCAGGGGGCGGCCACCCAGAGCCCCCAGAGCCCAGGGACTCCTGCCACCCTACAGCACCCAGGACTCACTTGTCCCCAGGCTCTGCATTGCTGCCCCTTTTTACAAATCCCACAATAAAACACCGAAGAGAAATTCCTATCACCCATGCCCAGCACACCCTCAGGAAGGA